GACTTTTTCATTAGAAGAGCTGACTGCCAAATGCTGTTTGCGCTTGCCTAAAGGACAGTCTGCATGATTGAGAGTAGCTCTGCTTTACATGAAGTATTGTTTTCAGGCCACCACCACAGGCAGCTGCTTCTCACTAGGCAAGGGAAAGAGCAAGGAACGTGAGTGAGCACACAGAGCAATTGAATGACACGAGAACCCATGGGATTTCCCATCCCAAATCCACACCACCACAAGGGCTCACGTCCGTGTGGGCGCTGTGTGGTGGTAAAAGCTGAGGTGGGGTCTGGCTCTCCTGGCAAGGGGCAGCCCAGCTGGGAAGGCCGAATTCCAGAGCAGCTCTGCTGTGAAAATATTTCCTGTGAGAACACGCAAGCCTGAGAAACCAGGAGCAGCAGCAGGGATGGATTCCATTTGCCTAGCACATCCATTTCAAGAGCAAACCTCTGAAGGGATATCTTGTTGTTGGAGTGGTGATGAGACACTGCACCTCAGCTGCAGCAAATGGGCAAAGAATATTCTTCTACCCCGTGCTTTCCCCCGGGTGTCAGAATGTATGCCCAGCTGGATTTCTCCTGCATTTTCTTATTTCCATGGGTTTTTGATCCCCTGAGTTTTAATCTATACATGGAGTGAAATTGATTGAAAAATATAATCTCAAATGTTTAGAATTTATTTGCTGCACACGGTCAAAATTTAGCTTCTTGTCCACAAAAGTTCAGATTCAAATTCAGCTCCTTATCCTTAACTTTCTACTTTTAACAGGGACTATAACTCATTGTTTCCAGAGTAGGGCTTTGGAAAATATTCCGAGATTTCATTTGCTAATGAGACTTAACTGATATCTGGTCAAGTGGCTTGCACAAAAAGAGGCCTCTGGGAAAAAAAGAGCTTAAAGTCAGACAGGAGAAGGGAATAGTTCAACATCCGTTTAGGGTCTTCTCTAATCTCCAGTATTTAGGTTTTACAAAAAAAAAAAAAACGAAGGGGTAGATTTTGGACCTATAGCCAGTCATCAGTCTGCAAGTGAGTAGTTTGTATCACTTCTGGCTGATGTTTGTGTAAGAGCTGAGAAAGAACTTGTCTGTGGGTCTCTGTGCTCCCACCATTTGCTTTGCCCACTGCTATGCTGTATTTTCCATCCCTGAGAGTCTCCGATTTCACTGTGCTCAAAAAGTGTTTGGATACAAGAAGGCGGAGCACTCAATGGTTAGCAGGGTCATGCATAGAATATTTCATCCCCATTGAGTCAGTTCTGAAAGTTGGTGAGAATTTTTTACATTTCATTTTTTTTGTCTTTGTAATGGAGCAGGCTGCGCCAAAGACCAAGTGGTTTCAAGAAAGTGTACTTATCAAGAGCGTGTCTTGGACATATTTGCTACTGTCCAAGACAGTAGCTATGCTACTCCATACCTCCTGGTTCTGCAGCCAGTGTCTAACCCACAAGGCCACAGTGCCCAACCCTCTGCCAAGGCACTGAATCTCTCTTCATCCCTCTTACCACATCTATAATTTGTGGCTAACAGGAGTGGTCTGTGCTCTCCTAGTGCTTTATCACCTGCTTTTTCACTTCAAAGTGTTTCTCCATGTGAATATACATTACTCACCCATTTCTACTGTTTACCTTAGTATAGAAATTTGAAGCAATGCTTACACCTGGTGTACTGTGACTGGATTTCACTAGGTGGGGTTTATGTTTACAGCTTCCTGTGGCACACCAATTAAACTCTGAGCTCTGTGTCTGATACTAGTTAAAAAAAGAGGTAAAACCACTGGTTGCTTCTTTGGGGTTATGGTTAGAGCTGGTGAAGCACTTGAGATCAGCAGGTACTAACAATTTGCTGCAATGAGAGAGGAAGAGTAAGGGCCAGTTCTTTACCCAGAAGATTGAATGGATTCTGGAATCCCTTCAATCCCATCCAGCTTTTGCTGCAGGGGAAGGACTGGCCCATACATTGCAAGGATATGGCAAGCATCTGGATCTGAACCAGAGAGGGAAGAGGCTGAGAGGTAACAAGAATGAGATTTTCAGCTGGAGCTTGGAGATGCCTAACTTCAAACACATTATCTCATCCTCTAGGCACAAATATTTTTGCTCCACTTTTTTTTTCTTCCAGGTTCAATGACAAAGCCCAGTGCTTTCAAAGAATGCCAGTTTCTGGAGCATGTGGCTTGTCCCTCCCTGCTTTGATTCTTGCCTAGGGCAGAATAAGGTTCTTCCCTTACTGCAAGACAAATGAGAAACTAATTTATTACACAGGTACAAGACTGAAAGAAATGCCAGATGCAGTAAGAGACAATCAAAAAAGCACATCTCTTTAATAGTTTTTAAAAGAAAAAGCCCGTGTTTCATGTAAAATGTTGATTCTGACTTTTCAGTGATATTTTTCTTTAAGAATTTCCAAGAACTGGAACTTATTGTGCTTCATACATTTAGTTATAATATGACATGAAATCAGTGGAGCTTGACTTGCATATTTTTTCCTATTCCTTGCTCCATAACACTGCAATAACATTCTCCATTTGGAACTATGCTTTCCTTTTTTGCTGTGTTATTTGTATGAGATGTATCTGGAATGCAGGAGAAGAGGCAGAAATTGTGAAAATGGCTAGGAGTACATTTTATTTTATACTTAGTACTTCTGGAGTTAAAGGGGAGATGGAAATTGGCCATGTAATGGATCTTAGCTATAGAGCATTATCATATTTCAATAGTAAAGTATTGCCTGTCTCGGCTCACACACACATCTTGACCTCAGAGCAGTTGCACATAATGTTTTCTCTGTCAAGAGAATCTATTCATAATGATGTGTCACAGGTGCTCACACATAATATGTTTCCCGTCAAAAGTGATCATCCATATTTTATACAGCAGCTTTGATGACAAATATTTTGTCCTTCAGCTGCTTTTTCATCCAACTGTCAGACTTAATGAAGGAAAGTCACAGATAGTTTTTAAATAATGTCAGCTTCTTAGATCACATTACTGTGTCTGCCTTTTAAAGCTGTTTCATACAAGGGCCACAAGACAGAGGAGAGAGAGATAAGGATGTTTTCATTTACTTAACTTTAGAAAGAAAAAATTTTCCAGGCTCTTAATTTCAAAATCAATAAGCTCTGTGCCTTTAGAATATTTTCAGAAAAAAAAAGTGTTCTATTTATTAAGTATTCAGTATTTTGAGAGTCTAGTGAAAGCAAGTATGATAACTGAATTGGGGTTGCAACTTCTCACTGCTGAATGTCATTTATTCTCAGAGTGGTGTCATGTACTCATTGTAAACACACTTTCCTCTAGGTTATGCTACAAAATGAATGTCTCAGTACACACAGAGAATTGAGTTCTTGTCTTCTTACTGAAATTGTTTGTGCACAGCAAGGCCAAAGTTTGTACATTTCATGTATGTCCAGCCCTACTGAGAGAAATAACCCTCATTCCTCATTTTATTAATGAAAGAGGAAGAATGAACTTGAATTCCCTTTGAGGTTCTTCAGGTCACAGGACTTGTCATTGAAACCTCAGAGCCCAGCAAAGTGCTTTTCCCATTCATGGGACATGTCTTTTCTGCTGAGAGTGTAAGTGAGCAAAGTACAGAGGTGTTGCTGAACTTCCCTGCCAGGCAACCCTGCCCTGAGCAGCAGGCAGTGGTGCCTCTCAACATACAAGCCATGGATTCATACGGATTCCTGGTCTGCCTCCAAGGGCTCCACAGAAAGGAGTTGAAAAAAACAAGTTAATTTTGTGTGCAAGCTATTTAGCAGTGTCTGCAGATCAAAATAAAATCAAAGCACTAAAATAGGCAATCACACCATGCATGTGCACATTTATAAAATTATCACTGGCCTGAGGAGAAGGCAGAACAGGAAGCCAATAGTATTTAGAAATACAAGTTACAAATGTAAATGAGGACTATATTTTTTCTATATATGAAATATAACCAGGTGTGTTAGGCTGAGAGATTAAAGCTTGCACTTTAAAAAATTACTATTTTTCATGCAAGACAAGGCCAAAACAAGAGGGCACACAGGGTCTGGCGTTAGTTGATGCTCCATTATTTTTTTAGTTTCAGTTTATTTAAGAAAGCAAGCAAGAAGGAATTAAAAGTAGGTAAGGTAACAGCTTCTCAAGTACAAGAGGATGCAAAACTTTATTCTCTACCACTGAGAAGTAATACACTTCATTGTATCACACAGCAGATTAATGTCTGCTACTGAAAAGATAGCCTGCAACAGCAACCTCTTTCCTGCTATCCCCAAGCCCCTAAAGAAGTTAGGCAGTGTGTGTAATAAATTTCGTTTTCCTTGTCTGAAGAATTAGAACAATTCAATTGAAAGGCAAATATAATCCTACCTATGCTATATGCTGAGACTGGAGCAGGATAAATGCCACAGTTAAGTCTAAACATCAGGTTGTAATTGTTAGAGATTAAAAACATGCCAGAGAGAACATTCCAGGGAAAGAAGGAGGGTGAGAAGAATGGCTCTCCTGTGTCTTTTTTTTAAGGCAAAGTATCATCAGATCTTACAAGGGCATATTCCTGCACAGCAGAACTCAAATAAAATGGCATTTAGTCAACAAAGGAAATTATACACTAGATCGATTTTTAATCATCCAACTAGGAAAAGAAAGAATAAGTGAACATGAATTTTTCTGCTGAGACAAGTGCACATAAGGCAGAAAAGCCCCTGAAAATAAGGAAAAGAAAAATGAATGTTCTCTAGAATGCTGCTGTTCCATATCATCTATTTCAAAGATCATTTACTGTTGGCTATTTCTGCAAGATGCAAAGATGTCGGCTGAGCTTCTCATTTTTATGCAGATGAAATAATTTCTGAAATGACAAGTCAGGTCATAAGAGACACAAGAAAAAATGAAGCAATCTTTAAGAACTGTCAGAGAGATGGATGGTCCACTCTTCCAAGTGCAGAGGAACCATTATTGCATGGTCTTGTTTAAGGTATTGTTTTCTCACAGTTTTTTTTTTTTTAAATTCTTTTCTTCTCAGTGCATCCTAATGTGAGCCAGGGTTGCCAAGGAGGGTGTGCTACATGCTCTGACTACAACGGATGCCTGTCATGTAAGCCCAGGCTCTTCTTTGTTCTGGAGAGGATTGGCATGAAACAGATTGGAGTGTGTCTTTCCTCGTGTCCAAGCGGATACTATGGGACACGGTATCCCGACATTAATAAGTGTGCAAGTAAGTGCTGGGGAAAGGGGAAGCACGTGGGTTTGTTCTCTCTTGAATTGTGTCTCCTTAGGAGTCAAGTCAATAGAGAAGGAGATGGACAGGCTCTGTCCTTATTTGCTCAGTTCTTTGTAGTAGTGCAGTAAATATTAACCTAAGCAAGAAGTTGAAGACCACAAAAATGGCCTAAAGCTCAGGGATCCTGGCTTTGCATGAATGACCTGCCTAGAACCCAGGTGATGGCCTTGTCCTCCTCCTCTACATCCCCACGTGAAGGGGAAGAACTGGTGGGCACCAGTGCCCTCCAGAAGCAAGAGAACGCGGGCAGCTCTGAAGAGAGAGAGGGGACTGAGGAATGCTGAATCTTGGTACTCGAGCTGTCTAACCCACTGCCCTTACTCACCTGAGCCCTGCAACAAGGAAATAAGGTGGCAGGTGGCATGCTTTGGAGATGTGGTTTGCCCTGGTCTCTTTATAGCTTGTCTAAAGCTCACTGTAGTCCTCTGAATGCCTGTAGAAGCTGGCCAGGTTTCAGCTGGCCAGATTTCAGCCTGATTTGGGGGAATTTACTGGTTTGTGTTGTTTCCAGGCTGGGGGACAGAGAAGCCAACTCTATTCTCTACTGCTCAGGCAACATTTTGACCCCACTATGGATTTTTGAACCATAAATGAACTGGAAAAGATCACAATGTCCTCCCCACTCCTCTTACTGTTGTTGAATTCACTGTTTTTAATCCCACAGGTGATATAAAAACATAAGAGTGATGGCCAAGAAACTCTCCCAGTTTTTACCTGGTAATAAAAGTTATTTAATGAATGGACCCCAGAGTAAACTCTTACAGAGTAATTTGACACTGCAAAGTATTTGCTCGCTTTTTAGCAGTGTGTGGCCTTGCATATCAAACATGAGCTGTGCCATACATAAGGTTTTATGCATTTCTCTTAAAAATTTCTGAGAACTGGGAAATGGATCAGCAATGCCAATTTGGATAGTCATATAGAGAATACATTAAATACTACAGAACATCTGCTTGAACATCAGGGAACCATTTAAAGAAAAAGAAAGATATGTTGATCAAAACCACTCCTAAGCAGATTCTAAATTCTGGCATATTTTTTTTCTCCTTCATGAATATTTTTATCTCCTGGAGACAGGAGATAGGAGTGTGGAGCTGACCTAGCACCTGTGTCCCATGGGGTCAATTAGTACCTATGTGGTGCCAGGGCAGGGCAGAAGCAGCACAGTGTTATTCTCATGTGCTCTGCTCTGCCTGCCATTTGCATAGGTCTCCAAGAAGATTAGCAGTGTGAGGCTGTTCAGCATCAGGCCATCCTTTCTAAATTCTCACCCATGCCAGGGTCACCTGTGGCTGGCTTCACCATGTGTACTGGTCAGGAAGAAGACCTAACATAATTTGTTTCCTTTGAGGATTGTCTGACATTGCTAGAATTGTGTGATTCTGGTATATGTGAGAGAGCCTATGGCAGTTCATGGCTAAGAGCAACAATGCTGTTGTTTACTGCTTGCATTTCAGAATGTAAAGCTGACTGTGATACCTGCTTCACCAGAAACTTCTGCACAAAGTGTAAAAGTGGGTTTTACTTATACAGTGGAAAGTGCCTTGAAAAGTGCCCTGATGGGCTGGAAGCCAACAACCACACGATGGAGTGCACCAGCATCGGTGAGTCTGCTCCCCATGTCCTGCCTCGTTTTCTCAGAGGGGGTGTGGGATCTAAGGAAGGCATGATCCTTACAACACCGGGGAAATTAAAATGTTCTTCATAACAAGATCTATTCCCCAGCACAAAACACTCAAGGTATTTCCCAAGTCTGCCACTTCACAAGAGGCACAAACCTGGTTGTGTCCTGCAAAAACAGCCTTGATGCTAAGGGCAACTCTGCCAGAGGAAGGACAGCCTGTTTGGTCTGCCCTGAGGTAGCAAGACATCCATCTCTTGCTTGGTTACTGTGTTATGCAGCACCACGAACAGCAAAGTTTCAAAAACCCTGAGTCAGATCCCACATGTAGTTTAAAAAAGATTAAAATACTAATGGCTTTACTTTAGCTCCCTTGTACCACCTGAGCCTTCAAAGCATGTATGCAACAACACTTTGAAGCTTACCTTTTCAAAGGTGAAGGCTAAAAACTAATATATTAAGGAAACATCCCCCCAAAAAACCTCCAATCTCCAAAATGGTGCAATAATCACCAGACTTCAGAAAATGAGGATTACAAATAGGGTGCCACTGTCACTGAAGGAGTGAGATTGATGTCATTGTGAGTCACTGGCTGTGGAGAAGAGACTTGCTTTTGTATCTTGAGCCTCTGACTCAAAAGCTCCAATTATTCATACAAGGGCAATTTCAGAGGTCACCACACCTAAATGTCTGCTCCATCCCTCAGCCATCTCTCCAAATGAAAGAAGAACAAGTGAAATGTTTGCCTGTGAGCAGCTGCAGTTAGCATCCCCCACCACGGGCACACTGAAGCTATGGCAGGGCTCAGCTTATTTTAGTACTTTGGCTGTGAAATGTGATGGCTGAGGGCTGTGAGCTGCAGTGCAAGCTGTAACCTCTTCAGCCACCAGCAACCAGAGAGACAGCACTTAGGCACAGTCTGGCTGTGATGGAAATCTTCTCCACAGTGTCATGCACATAGCTCTCTCTGGCATCCAGTGTTTTGGAGGGGAAGTAATGCAGGAATAAAAATAATGTGCAGTAGTTTGGCATTTTCCTTCTCAAATATATATTAGTTCAGGTGGTAGTGTAGGCTTTTATGGTTTTATTTTCAAGACTTTCATCTTTGAAAGAAATTCAAGGGATCATTTTTGTTTCTTGATGGCTGTTTCCAACTGCTGTAGACTCAGCTGCTTTAACAGTGAGTCAGTCTCAAAGAGGAAAGGCCATTTAAAGCTATGGAGTAAAACCAGAACCTTTTTGTGCATGTGAAAGCCAATTATTTTAGCAGAAGAGCCCCAGTGTAACATGAAAAAAATGACCCATATGACAACTCACTGGAGGAAGGTTCAGAGATTGCCTAAAGTCTGTTATATTTCTAGGTTTCAGAAAATTTAGAAGTAAATTCTGGATTTGGAAAAATGTTGACTTGCTAATTTGTCTTTATAGAGGAGCAGGAAGTCTTTCCTTCTTCAGTGGTGACTTATAATCTTAAGCATGCAGTTGGACTTAAAGTAAATACATACATTTACTATCTTTTTTCAAGAGAAAGATAGCAAGATGGCATAAGAGAAGGATTGCTATTAAAAGCATATTGTTAGCCTTCCAAGTTTATTCCCATGTTTTGTTTACACTCTTTGGATAAGCGTGAAATGTCACACCTTCTGACCTCCAAACAGCACAGGATGCACATTCACATCACTCTGGTTTAGAAAGGGTAATCTGCACCATTCTGAAAAGCTCGAAGCCTCACACTGACCCAAATTCTCCTCTGCTTTGCCTGTTTCTAGCTTCTGTATTCTACAGATGATGGGTCTTTAGGTGGCCAAAGACACTTGACTTCCAGTGTAACGTCTTTTGATATCAGTTGGTCCTTTATAACTATCATTTTCCCAATTTCCACCTTTGAGATGAGCTGCAGCAGCTTGACCCAATGGCTTCACTCACCTTTCACACAAGCATGACCAAAGTTTATTCCACCAAAGCTAAAAGGGTTTACACCTCCATCAAGCCAAAGAAAAGTCAGAACAAACCCCAGTAACTGATTCCACTGAGACCAGTAGCACTGTTATTGCCTTGCTTCAGGAATGTAATTACAAAACAGTGAGTAGAAAATAGTAACTGTTATAATCATTTGACATTATTTTGTGCTGCATATCCTTAACAATACAATTTCTGTCAATTCATTGCTGCAACTCACAACTGATTAATTCCATTAGTTTTTGCCACCTTTTGGCTGATGCAGAATGAAAATAATGTACCATATGTATTCTGTATACAAAAAACATATTGGTCAGGCTAAGTTTATTTTATGTTTATTGCAGTGCACTGTGAAACTAGTGAGTGGAGTCCGTGGAGCCCTTGCATGAAGAAAGGAAAAACTTGTGGTTTCAAAAGAGGAAATGAAGTGAGGGTCAAAGAGATCATACAGCATCCATCAGCAAGGGGAAATCCTTGCCCAGCTACAACCGAGAGCAGAAAATGTATTGTACAAAGAAAGAGATGTCAGAAGGAAGGAAAAGGTACCAAGTTATCATCATCATAATATGAGATTGATATTGTGTTGTTTTAATAATTCGCACCTGAATTCTTAGGCCTCAATTTCAGGCTTCATCAAAGCTGCCGTTGATGTGGTGGTTTTTGGGCCAGAGAGAATTGTGCCTTTGCCTGCAGTAAATAAAATCCTAACACTGCTCAAAAAATGTGCTTTGTGTGATCTAGAGAGGACAGGGTGGGCCGGAAGGGAAGGCACTTTGTCTCCCAATTCTGTCTGCTGAAAGAGTTGCCAAGACGAAAAGTTGCATTGTAGCGCTCAGAACAAACAGATCCATCATAAAACATGTCAGGGTGGGTGTTGTCTGTTGGGTATCAGGCAGCCAAGTTTCGTGCTTCAACAGAGGGATTCCTCCAAACCAATTCCTATTTCATGCTTCCCTACAAGATTTTAACTCTTGTAAATGCAGTGCTGTGGCCTCTCTCCCAGCCTGAACTCTTTACTAGCTCTGGCTGAACAACATAACCTGACCCTGACATCTGCATCTGGGTCATCGAGTCCCAGCGTGGGAGAAAGATCACAGCATTGCATGGCAGACAAGGGAAACTCCACTTGGTTTCACCCAAGAAGCAAGGCTGCCAGCAGAACTGTCCCTCCATGCAAGGCAGCTTGTGAGACTTACTCCCCAGCATGGCAGTGAGGGAATGGCATCACATATGTTAAGACTGGGAGATGCTTAAAAAGTTTATGAAATAATAATTTACATAAATTCCACTCAGTAGATACTGTAGTTTGATTATTCTCCCCTTCTTGCAGAGGGGAAATTACTTGATCTGTCCTCAGTGAAGTTACTCTGGTTGACACAGGTGTAACTATAGACTATTTCCTTTTCTCCATTCCTCCCATTTCCCCATCTCATCTATTTCTCTCTTTCCTCCCACCCCTTCTGAGGGTGAGTGGAAGAGGTGGAGCAGCTGCCCCTCCATGTGAACATCTGTGAGGCAGCAGTAGCTGCTGGTACCAAGTAACAACCCCCTGTTCCACTGTCAAATGATAGCCAGGCTTGCTGCAGATGATTTAGGGAAATGCTCAAGGGGCTTGGATCTTGTAACCCTTTTGAAGGTTAGCTCATTCCCTGGGGATGCACCTCATGAGAAGGGCAATAATGTTATTAGAGAGAATCCAAATAAGGGCCACAAAGATGTTGAAGGGCCTTGAGGGGAAGCCATATGGGGAGCAGCTGAGGTCACTTGATCTGCTAAGACTGAAGAGGAGGAGATTGAGGGGAGATCCCCTTGCTATCTACAGCTTCCTTGTGAGGGGAAGAGAGGATGCAAACACTGATCTCTTCTCTGTGCTGACCAGTGACAGGACTAAAGGGAATGACCTGAAGTTGTGTCAGGAGAGGTTTAGGTTGGCTATCAGGAAAAGATTCTTCAGCCAGAGGGTGACTGGTCACTGGAACAGGCTCCCTAGAGAAGTGGTCACAGCACCAAGCCTGACAGAGTTCAAGAAGCATTTCAACAATGCTCTCAAGCACATGGTGTGACTCTTGGGGTGTCCTGCTCAAGGCCAGGAGATGGACTTGATGATCCTTGAGGGTCCCTTCCAACTCAGCATATTCTCTGATTCTGTGATTCTATAGACCAGATAGCTACAGGTGACTCTTCCTCACCCAAGAACTGGGTAGATCTACTGATCTATAGGGCACAGATGTCACCTCCTGCTCCTTGGGTCAGGCAGTATCCTGAAGAGGTAGAGAACTGTACCTGTGTCAAGGTCACGGTCAAGACAACCTATTTACTGATTCCGTTTATAAATCCTACAGATTTCTATGTTCAAAATGTCCGTGCTTGGTTCTGTTTCTACACAGTGGCACAACTTGAAACAGCCTCTCATTAGCCCACTGTAACTGGGGAAAGAGTCCATTTTTTTTCCCTACCAAAGCCTAATCTTGACAGAGATGAAAATATAGGACTGAACTGTAATTTTGGACTATGAAACTGGGTTTTTTTTGAGGCGATGATATTATGTGTTTGCTTATAGCAATTTGGCAAACACTTCAGATTGGCCAAGACATTTCTCTTTGAGAAATGCCTGCTGTTCCTGTGTAATAAGAACTTTAGAAGAAACTATTCACGTATTTTCCTATCCATTCTTATTTTATGGGATTTGAGCCAAACCATACTTGAAAAATACTGTGCACCACAAGAATTTGTTCACAATCATGAATCTTTTTCTTCCCTTTTCTTCTGCAATATGCATAAAGGTAGGCTTTTTTCCTTCTTTAGAGCAAGTCACAGTCTATATTCTAGCCTGTCTTGTGCTCAGTAGATAATTCCTTCAAATGAGGAACCTGTGTTCCCACTCTGTCTCTGCCTTTGGGATTTGTATGCCTGTGTCTGAGACCCCTTATTTTTTTGTTTTGTTCTGACATTTACATTCTCAGTATTCACAGAAGTCTTTCCCCTTCACATTCATCGCTTCAGGGAGATGAACCTTTTTTTTTTTTAAAGAAAGATAATTCTTAACAAAACTGAGGAATATCACACATGAAACATCAGGTTAAAAGAGCATGATTTAGAGATGAATTATGGTGACAGGCTAGGAAGGTAAGAATTAAGCTATAAGTTGTCCTTCTATTCCTGTTGAAATGGGGAAACAAAGCTTTCCAACTTAATCTCCAGGCAACATATCTTCCCTACTGCTACTGTCCCTTATTACACAAAAAGAAATTTCTATTCCCCTTTGAACAATAGAATGATTGCCCAAGAAAGCAAGCCAGGCTCTGTTCTTAAGGCTAGCTGTGCCCTGTCAGTGAGTGGAGAAGGAGGTGACAACAGAAACACTTGAAAGGAAAGGGAAAGTCAGTAAGTTTGTATTTACTGTTGAGAAATATTGAAAAGGCTGTTTTGTATTGTACAACTCCCTGTGGCCACTCGGCATTGTTTTAGAGTTGAACTTCTATGGCATTGGCTTTTGAAGTGTAGCAGAGCCGGCAGTGACCAGCAGTGCTGCTAATCTTTTCTCCATGACCATGGAGAGAGGGTCAGCTCAGTCACTCTTGGCTGTTTCCATGTTAGATGGATGTCTGTGGCTGAGGGATTTAGGTCAAAGACCACATGATGACGGGGTGTGCTCGTCACAGAGGCCTCAGTGACTTTGCTGGAGACGTTGAGGTCAGCGACAGGATGTTACTCAGTGAAGGCGCTGCTATCGCACAGCAGCAAGGACACATCTCTGGAACAACCACGCAAAACGAGATAAAGCAGATGAAGGGGGCTTTTTTTCTTTGTTTCCATCTGCTGGTGTGTCACTGGAGCTGACGAGATGTCTTGCAACCCTTCATTTCCCCTTCACTGGCTATGCAATGATGTTTTACTGTGAGAAGATGATAATATTTTCAGAATGGATGCAAACAAATGGGAATAATGAGGATACAAATAGCTCAATTAGCCTAAAAGATTCTTTCAACTTATTTTATCACTAAATTAGTTGATCCCAGTGTGATCTGACATGTTAATTCCCATTTGTTTCGCATACAGGCTCCTTTTGTAGTTCAATCTCATGCAAACCTCACAGTAATTTATTTCATCATTCTCCTCTTTTAATCCCATGATGTTGTGTTCTTTTTAGTCTGCATGACTATATAATATTAAGTTCCAGTTTTTTCTTCTTCCTTTATTTTCCTCACGCTTTTTGTCTTGTTCACCCAGTGCAGTATACTGTAACTTTTACCTTCCTACACGTAACATGTTCTTGGCTCCTACCCTTCATTGACAGATAAAAATTGAGACACATGTTTCCTGTAACCATGTCTGTTAATGGCAAATAGATGTCCTGGAAAAGCAAAAGAGCTTTCACAGCTCCTCAAACACTGCAAATTATCCATCAATATTATTTCTTTGCCTGAATAAATGTGCTCTTGCCTAACACAAGTCCCTTTGGAGTACTGTCTGCAAATGAGATTGAATTTATTGGATGAAAGACAAATATTCTGAAATTCCTATATTCTGCATACAAAAGTATTTGTGGGGAAAGAATTGCATATTTTCATTACTAATTCTGCCAAGAAGAGAATATTCACCATATGACTTTCTGTTGAGTCCCAACTAAACCCCCCCATTGATCAGACAATTTCAAGCACTTTCAGAGAATATGTTTTGATCAGTTTGAAGATAATAAAAGAACTCATCAAAATTATGAACAAGAAAGACACCTTAGAAATCTGGGTATTATGCAAGCCAATAGATAGATGACATTGGTTACATAGATGCATTATTGTAAGCAAATAAATACATTTCAATTGTTTCTCATTCTTATACTGAATTTTTGCATGCTGGTGGTGTTTTGATGTTCAGAAGACAGAAGCAGTATTAACTTAACTGTGTCCCATTCTGTGCCAATACAAACCAAACAAAGTTCCTATTCCTGACAGGCAAAATTTCAAGCATTAGACATGAAGACATAGGAGGGTGAATGTAGAATAGCATGTTTCTTTTTCACTGTGGAATGTAGCAGTTGTCACCTTGTACAGTCTGAAAGCAGGATACAGTTATGAGAGGAAGAGGGATAACTTTAGTCAAAAGTTAAAAGACTACAACCCCCTGGAGGTGAGGTAGCTTGTCAGCTAATGGTTTAAGCTCTAAGGAGAATAGAGACTATGCTATGATTCTTCTTTAGTTTACAGCAGAAATAAGAGAGAGAGAAATGCCTTTGAGGTGAGGAGCTGAATTCTAGACAGAGACTGGTGAACAGAAGGGAACTAGGGAACAAGATTTGTTGCTGAGGAATTTTAATGATGAAATGCATAAATTTTGGGTAAATAAATTAAAATAATAACTTCTATACTGTATGACATACATGTGAGTATAAAACTGCAGGTTCCATTAAATAGCCTAGAGAACTGAGACTCAGCTCATTTCTGTTGTTTCTTTGAACTAGTTCTTCCACCTCTTATATGCCCACATAATGCTTCCAAACACATTAATCAGATAATGTCTGAAGAGGCCTTCAATTGGCTGTGGT